TCAGTCATCAGTGCTTAAGGAGGTGTCTTGAGCTGATCAATCCTAGTGCAGTCTTGAGCTCAAGGAGATCTTGTGAGCAAACTCTTGATAAATGAGAGGGCAAATTTTGGGGTACAACACACACATATAGAGCTTATCATTCCTATGTGAGTTAGCTATTAATCTCACAACAAATCTTAAAGCTTATTCAATCCTTAATCATTAGGGATTGTCACTGATTTGTATTTTTAGTAAGTACAATGTGTATGTGCGTCTGTGTCTGTGTGTATGTGTGTTTGTATTTTCTCTACCGATGTAAGTGATGGCACTGTTGCTAATTGTCATTAGGGTATTGTACATGCTATCAACCAAAATTTCTAACTGAGATCTCTACATTTCTCTCAGCGTCACTCCACCTACTATGACTTGTCCTTGAGCTTCCCAACGCCCATTGTCTATCTCTTGAGCATATCTATTTCTCAAGTTTGTCTTCTTGCGAGCCTTTGTCTCTTTCTACTTCCCCTTACATTTGATCATCTCTATGATTTTGTTTATTTATTATGTCCCATTTAGATTTCTTCGAATGTTAGTGGTCATATCCACCACGATTTTGAAATTGGCCCTTATCTCCATATTCTTAACTTTCATCTCCTTATCCATTCAGCATAATCACATTCCAAATCGTAGCATCCTCCTATTTTTAGTAATAAGTAATTTTTACTTTATCAAATTATAATTTATTGATTAAATTATAATTTATTAAGTGAATAGAATATAATTTAATTACAAAAGTAGTGAAATTTGTTTAAAATTAAGACTGCACATTTTTTATTAAAAATCATATTTGATATTAAAATATTAAAAATCATATATTTTTAAGAATATTAATAAAAAAAATGATTTTTAATATTTTTTAATAGCAAATAATATTTTTATTAAAAAAGGTTTCCTCTCAAATTTAAATAAATTTCACTACTTTTTAGTTAAATAAAATTATATTTGATTCACTAAAAATACACTAATATCGATAAATTTTTAAATAGAGTACAAAATTTATTACCTCCAATTATTATTTACCATATATTCGTATAACAAAATATACCGTTAGATTAAAAGTTATTATCATATAGATCACGTCTATAAAATTTAACATTAATTAAAAATCATTTGATATGTTAAAGAGAATGATCAAAGTTAACGGTTCAATCGTTAGTTAGTTCAGTGGTGATTGACGTTGGATTTGGTTGGGAAGATTCCGCAACTGTGATTGGGAGGGGGCTGGAAGTAGAACCACTTGATGTCAGAACTGACCCCAGAATCGCACTATATCGGTGGTGAGAAAAAAAAGACAAATTAACAATTCTGATGAAATTTTGTAAGACATTAATTTTTATGCATCTTATTGAGATGTCAAATGGTTTATGATTGATGTTAAATTTTTTAAACATAAACTATATGATAATAACTATTAATTCAGTGATGAATTTTGTCATACAAATATGCGATAAATAGTTATCAGATGTGTCATAATCTTAAGTTTAACATCTTAGTATCATTTGATGTTGACTTTTTAGGTTCACTGCTTCAAACACTGATCAGAAATATTTCAATTTGACTTGGCGGCCAATAATCTCACACACATTGATAGCTTTGAGTTTGACGACCCCTCAAACAACGGCGTATTCATCTCATTCAACAACTGATAAAATCTCTGCGCTTCCTCATTCGGCAACTCTTCCCCGTCAAAGTATTCAGGTTGATCATAGGTCATGTTAACACCAAAAGCATCACCAACCATGTCACCTATCAGATTAAAGTTTTCCTCAAATTCCATAGGCGATTGCATAGTCGGTTGACTACTTGAAGCATCTGTGTTGCTAGTCTCTGGTACATTACTCGGCAGTGTTTCACCATTATACGTCCAAACCCAATAATTTTCAATGAAACATTTTCTATGCAATTGACGTGTTATTTCCTCTGGGTCACTAATTATATATCTACATCCACATTTAAGACAAGGACACCTAACTCCTCCTTCACTTCGACAACGTTCCTGAGCAAACGTCCACATGATAAAACCATTAACTCCGTCTATAAAATTGGGTTTAAGTGCGCGTCTTCCTGGATATAGTCTATCGTACATCCAACTACGATAATACCTATAATATTCCATTTACTGCAAATTTATATAATCAAAACCTATTTAATTAGAAATATTAATTAATCAACTTAATAATAATCCTAAACTTATTCTATTAAAGATAAATATATGCTTTTACTTTAACTATTTTTAATATATAATATTTTTTATTATATACTACTAAATATACTATATATTAATATATAGTTTATTAAATATATAATAATTAATAAAAAATATGATAACTGTCAAATATGACACATTTGTCCATGGATTTTTTTATTAATAAATAATAAATATTAGTATTAATTTTACTTTATTTTCAATTACGCATAAATTTGTCTTCATTTCCATTTATTTACAATTATGTATTGATATTTAAAACGGCCCATTAAAGAAAAAATCATATTCACTATAAATATATTTGGCTTTAATGATGAATTATGGTAATTACTTATATGTTTATGAAAATTATATTTTTAGTGACAGTAAATGTACATATGTTTCAAAAAACATCAAGTGGCTATTATATTTTTTCTAATTCTAACTTATTAGACTTAACAATATTCTATTAAAATAGTTCATCCAAAAAAATATTTTCAGTTAAGACAAAAAAAATTAATTTAAACACTTAAAATTTATAAACTCCTAAAAATATTTTTTACTTTCTTTATAAATTAATAAATAAAAAATTATAAGGATAAAATCTTTTTGATTTTTAAATTGCAAATGATTAAAATGATTATTGTTATTATTTTTATTATTCACTAACGTTACTACATAAATTAATAATTATAACGGTTGTATTCATCACAATTTATTTATTTACTTGTGTTTTTCACTAATTACTATATTTATTATTATTTATTTTGTAACATTAATTTACTTATTACTAAATTTTTATTATATACCCCTAAAAATATAATCAACTTAAATTTTAAATGGTTATAAAGATATAAAATATAAAGTAATAACGATATAATCTATTTTATTTTTAAATTTAAAATAAACTAAATAATTAAACCTAAAATTTAACCCAAATTCAGAAAATATAACCCAAATTCAAACTAAAATTTTAATCCAAATCCAACCTAAAAATTAACTAAATTCAGAAAATATACTAAATTCAAAAAAAAAGAATTCAAGATATACCTTTTATCTTCTAACTCCTTCAATCTTCTTGTCCCTTTTTGCAATCTACTTCTATCAATCTTCTTCTATTCAAAGAAAAATTGAAAAAAAAATTACATCCAATAATACAATAAATAAAAAACTGTTAACAAAATAGAGACAAAATTGAATTGAATTTACCTTAAAACAATAATTAATGGAGATTGAAGGGATTTAATATTGGAGAAGAACAAATTTTATGAAGAAGAAAATGGTTATGGAGGGTTGAAGAAGAAGTTCTTGAAATAAAATAACACTACTGTCTGTTTGTGGAGCGTGTTTGAAAGAAACATATAAAGCATTTAGCGACATGAAAATCACGCCGCAACGTTGCCACGTGATTTTCACGTCGCAACAATACCAACAATTATATTCTCTTTCTTCACATCCTTCAAAGCCTGAACACGCCAGTCTGAAAAAAATGTGATTTTTCCCTCTTAAATGTTGCGACGTGAATAACACGTCGCAACTTACTTTTTCAAAATTTAAAAATGACAAATATCTGAACGTTAGAGTAATTTAATTATTTTTTATTGTATTTTTAGTAGCGACGTGAATCCCACGTCGCAACATTTTTTTTTATAAAAAAAAGACGGACAAACTTCATGCTTCTTTATTTTATTAATAAAACATGTTGTCACGTGATTTTTCACGTCGCAACTAGCTTTATTTAGCCACATAAAAATCACGTGGCTGGAGAGCATTTTTCTTGTAGTATATATATATATATCAAAAATAAATAAATGTACAGTCAATTGAATTTTTCTAAATCGAATGACAGTTTAGTTTAAAAAACATATTTTTATTCAGTGTTTTAAAAATCGAATTAGATTAGTCGGTTGAACTGAAAATTGGATAGAACACGAGTTTAGTTCAATTGTTAGATTGATTATGTTATTGAATCGATGGGAATCGATCAAAACTGATAAAAACCAATAAAAACCAATAAATTAATGATTTTGGAATACTGTGATTTAAGTGTTTATTCCTTCTTAGCGAAAACAACGTTGTTTTGATTATTTAAAAAAAATTAAATTAAAATATAAAACAAAGCAAATGTTCCTTTCCTGTAAGCCATGGACATTGTATTTGTTTTTTTTATAAATTATGTGATAAGGTTAACTTGCATTTAGATTTTGTTTAAATTTTATTTTGATTTTTATTTTGTGTGTGATGATTATGTTTATAATTTAAATTTAAAGAATAAGCTTGTCAAATTATAATATTATTTAAATTTTTTAAGTGTTAATGATTTTTTTTAGATCGGTTTGACCGGTTTAATACCTATATAATTTTATTATAATAATAAATTTATTTAATCAAGTTTTTCAATTTTATTTAATTTAATCATGTGATTCAGCAAGTGATCTAGTAATTCGATCAATAAATCAATAATCTAATATCTTTGTCAGTTTGATTATAGTATGATTTTTAAAACATTGTCTTTATTACTTAAAATTTAAGTCATAATAAAAACTTTTCATATAAACAACAATAAAAAAAACATAAAAGTGATTGAAATATCCAACTTATATAAGAAATATCAAATATATCTGAAAATATTTATCTAATAATTATGGGTTAAAAAGAACTTTTATTGGATAATATATTAATATAAAATAATATTATTATTTCTATTAAAAATTTATTCATACATAATATGATTTGCATCACTTTTTGAGGAGACACCTCAAGAACCATTTTGTATTATCTAGTGTGCAAAACAAATTGCATCTTGGGATGTTCCACCAGGAATGTTATTAGCAGAAACTGGTGGAGAATAACACCAACATCTCCCGTTAATGCAACATCCTTTTTGACCAGAAGGACATCCAGGTTGACAATCTGCATCATACTTACAAGGTTTTGCATCAAGTTCTCTTCCTTCTAATTTGATGCACATATCTACATATACAAACATTGTATGAAACATAAGATTAATATTGTAGATAAAAATTAAAAGATTTATATATAAACCAAGACAACTTATTCAGTTAGAACATTGATTATTACCTGATGTAAGGATGAAAAAAGCCAGTGAAAATATCACTGTGAGAGCAGTAATCCTTGTAGTGGCCATTATTTGTATATAGAACACATTGCATTCTATAGATGCCTTCTGCTATTTATATATGATTATGGGGATATTACACTTTGGCCAAATTAATTATTTTATTAAATACTAAAGATAAACATAACATTTAATATATATGACAAACAAAATAATATATTCTTTTTTTTTGGTCAAAGAATAACAATATATTTTATATATATGTTTAAATTTTTGATACTGCAGATTTACCTTATTAAGTTTATTTTAAAAACAAATCTGACTTTTTTATGAATATATAATAATTACAATTTAAAAAACTTTTATGAATATATAATAATTACAATTTATAAAACAAATATAGTATATAAAAATAAATAAGGAGAACAAAAGATCTCGAACGCTAGATTAAGCAACAAGAACAAAGATATCAAAAGGGTCAACCAAATCAAATCGGAGATTTCATTCTAATTTAAAAAATTGGTTTAAATTAAAAAATATATATAATTGATCTGACCTGATCAGAAATGGACCGTCACGGCTGGCTCCGAGCAGAAAACTTTTTTGAACGAGGTGGGGGTACCTGCAAGGCACTCCGATGCTGAAGTAAGTAGGAGTACGAGCACTACGCCAAAAATGATTTTTTGTATCACCTAATTTAATAGCACTTTTAAAAAAAATGCTATTAAAATGGAAAAAACACATTTATAATAGCACTTTTTAATCGGACGCTATTATATAATACAGACTATGTAATTTTGATAGCACTTTGTACCAGAACGCTATTATTAAACTTCTTAAAGATAGCATTTTGTATAAAACGCTATTATTTGACTACCTATATAATAGCATTTATTAAAAAGCGCTATGTTATATATAATAATGAATTAATTAATTAATTGATAAAAAAAAAAAACAAAACACATTTTCAGAAAATTGGGTTTCCCACGTCCACTCACCTCCAAAAACAAAAACACTACCATTGATTCTCTCAAATTTTGCGGTGATGGTGCAAGGTAATCAAAGGCATCCAACGAGGTTCTCTTTTGTGAGATATAAGGTGCGACTATCCGCTTCGGACACGAAGAAGAGAGGATTGAAGGATCTCGAACATTACCAGCACGGTCGGAATAGAATCTGAAGAAGGCGACGATCAACACATTCGGAGACTTCAGGTATGTAATTCATGTTACTCTGGATATGAACGTTTTTTCTTTACTATTCTTCTTCTTTCCTCTTCTCATCTGCTACTCTTTCTGTGTTGTTTTGAGTTTTTGTTGGCGAATCGGTTGTGTGGCGATGAAAGACCAATTTGTTATTGATCGAAGCAATTTTTCTTCAGAGAAGACAGAGTAGGGAGAGCTTAGTCTAAGATCTAGGAGATTGATGAAGGTTTCTATGAAGTAGAGAAGTGTTGAAGTTGAGAGCTGAAATGGAAGCTTGCGGTTGGAGAAGAGTTGTACTAAAGTTGTAGATTCAAGAAGTTTGAAGCCATGTTCAAGAACGAAGAAGGATGAAGATGAAGATGAGGATTCTTTCTAAGAACCCAGAGAGATTCAGAAGTGAGTATTCTGTGAACTTTTTCTTTTTTGCCTCCTGATATTCCCCTGATTTCTATTATGAATCCCTGTGAATTTTCGAGTAAGAGAGGTTGAGAAATTTTTTCTGAACTGTTTCTGTTTTCTCTATATGAATCCCCCATCTCAGAGTTTTTTCTTCTTGAATAAAGATTGTGAATATCACTGAATAATAAACAGTCCCCTCTGCTTCCTTTGATTACCTTATATCTTCCTCTACTTCCTTCTTAGCCATTGATTCTCCCAACTGATTCACCGCCGTCAAATCTTCCTCTGCTTCCTTCGGTTTTCATTGATTCACCGCTGTTAGTCATTGATTTACCACCGTCATCCCTTCCTTCGGTTTTCACCCGGATCCATTCTTCAGCCATCGGATTCACCATCGATTCAGATTCAGATTCACTTCTCAAACGACACTCAAACAGAAGGAGGAAACACCGAAAAGAAAGAACAACCAAATCTCATTCTCCGTCGAACTCAACCCTTTGTCATCTCACCTACGTCGTCGTCATCCCTCTCTTCATTTGTATCCGGTAATATTTCTTTTTTCAGTTTCTGCTATCCGTTGATTCTGTGTTGTTTGTGAGCGTTATGATGTCTTTGTGTTGACGGATATTCGTGATTTTGAGTAGCTGTAATGAGGGTTTGTGAGGTTAAGTTGCAGTTGTGAGGGCTCATAAATCCGAGAAACATATATATAGTAAAATAACAAACATGCTTTGCTGCATATTAAATTTAAAAATGTTGCCTATTAAAGTTTCTTACATTTTCAGTTTCTTCAACCATGGGTTGGTGTTGTTGCTACAAACCCACATTACTCATCATTGTTTTCACATTCTTCATTTCTCAACCTTACGCAGTCAAATTCTCACTTCCTTTTATTTGGCCTCTCCCTGCTAAATTCGCATTCGGTAATGAAACTCTTTCCGTTGATCCAACACTTTCTCTCATCGGAAGCAGTGCTAACTCGCCTATTCTCAAAGCTGGTTTTGATAGATTCAAAGGGATAGTGTTCAGTAACGGTTTTGTTAGAACAGGCAAAGCTGTTTACAATGTTAACAAGTTGTATGTCGTTGTTCATAATAAAAGTGAAGAGGTAGGTTGCTTTTTGTTTTATTTTTTTCTGTTGTGCTTTTGAGGATGTTTTTGAGATTTTGAAAATTTGTTGCAGCTTCAACTTGGAGTTGATGAAAGCTATAATTTGCTCATTACTAAAGCAACCGGTTCTGGCAAAATGACCATTGAGGCAAATACTGTTTTTGGTGCATTGCGTGGATTAGAGGTAAGTAATGAGTGTTGTGGACAAAACACATAAGATAGTTTCTAAATGATTAACACACTTATAAATCCTTTTGAGTTATATGTGACTTATAACTTACATTCTTCCTTTCTTATGATGATTACGTAGACGTTAAGCCAATTGTGTTCTTTTGATTATTCAACGAAAATGGTACAAATATACAAGGCACCTTGGTCCATCCGTGACAAACCAAGATTTCCTTTTCGCGGGCTCATGTTAGGTGAGCCAAGAGATGAGTTTATATTTTATTTGGCTTGTTCATATGCTTTGATAAGAAGGTGTTGACACAAATCTTTGATTTCTTTGTGTTGCAGATACATCAAGACACTATTTCCCAGTTAATGTTATTAAGCAGATAATTAAATCTATGTCATATGCCAAACTTGTAAGACAAATATCATGAGTTCATTTATACTTTCCTCTTGGTTATTTGTGACAGTTTGAAACCATGTTGTTTTTCATTATATGCTGATATGGAATGTTTTACATGGCAGAATGTTTTACATTGGCACATTATAGACGAACAGTCATTTCCTCTTGAAGTACCTTCATATCCGAACTTGTGGAAAGGTTCATACTCAGAGTGGGAACGATACACAATTGAGGATGCATATGAAATTGTCAAGTAAGATACTTCGTGTTATGTCTTTCAGTTGGCTTTCGCAATCTATGACTCACTAACGCTGTTCTCTTTTCATGTTTTACTTAATTTGTCATAATATAAAGCTTTGCCAAAATGAGAGGTAAGGTATCACGAAATTCCTTTGAAGTTTCCTTTTCGTATTATTTACAGCACTTTGCAGTTTTGATATTGCAAGATAATTGAAGTTTCTATTTGCATGATTTATCACAGGTATAAATGTGATGGCCGAAATGGATGTCCCTGGTCATACAAAGTCATGGTAAAGCTTATGCAATTCTCAATTTTCTCTTAAGCTGAGAGTCTTTTCGATTTATACTAAGGCTTAGTTTACCTAAGTAATGTTTTAAGGTTGTTATTTTGTTTCTGGTTAGGGGTATTGGATATCCAGATGTTTGGCCGTCACCCTCGTGTAAGAGCCCACTCGATCTTTCAAAGGAGTCTACCTTTGATGTACTTTCTGGCATTATGACAGGTTAAGTTCCTATGAAACATGCATTGATTTTCTAAATGAATTTATGCCGTTTTACTTTTCTAACTATTTTCTTCTAAACTTACAGATATGAGAAAAATATTCCCCTTTGAACTATTTCACTTGGGTGGTGATGAAGTGAATACAGGTTGGTATGCATGAATTTGTTGACAAAATCTTTAATTTGTTAACTAAAGTCCTAAGAATCGTTTTTATTATTAGGACAATCTAACAAACAATCATAATGTATAAGAAATTGCTGATTATTTTGACAGATTGTTGGACCAATACTTCTCGTGTGAATAAGTGGTACAAATTTCAATCTTTTATACACATTCATTAGTCATTACATTCCAGATGATTTTTTTATTGCCTATAGCTGTAAATTTACAATGGAAACTCAAATTTTATTGAAGTGGTCAAAGAAAGTTAACCATCAAAATAAATAAATTTGATTAGTGTCATGTATCAAGCAAAATATTCAGACACGACATTATCTCAAATGCAGGCTTCAGAATCAGAACATGACTGCTAATGATGCTTACGAATATTTTGTATTGAAGGCGCAAAACATTGCTCTTTCGAAAAATTGGACTCCTGTGAACTGGTATGATTTATAGATCTAATGATGCTTATGAGTATTTTGAGCAATAACTATAGCCATGTTATTTAGATGCGACCTTTTTATGTAACTTATCAGGGAAGAAACCTTCAATTCATTTGCGACAAAGCTCCACCCGCAAACTATAGTGCATAATTGGTGAGTTGTAGTTTGTGTAGTTTAATTTTGGTGAAAATCTCAAACGACTCGGTCCTGAAGTATTTTAAGTAATTATTTCTATAGGTGGAGCTCCGGTGTTTGCCCAAAGGTTGTTGCAAAAGGCTTGAGGTGTATTTTCAGTAACCAGCGTGTATGGTATCTTGACCATGTAGATGTACCTTGGGATGTTGTCTATAACGCCGACCCACTAGAAGGAATACAGGAAGCTTATGAACAAAAACTTGTGCTTGGAGGTGAAGTTTGCATGTGGGGTGAGGTAGCTGATACATCAGATGTTCAGCAAACCATATGGCCTCGAGCTGCAGCAGCCGCAGGTTAGTTGTCTTGCTAATCCAAAGATGTTTTCCACTCAAAAGTCATTTGAAGGGCTCATGTCATGTACTATGAAGTAATGACACAAACCTACACATCAGACACGATACTAGCACATTGATAATAACTTGATTAAATTAAAGTCATTATGAGTGATGGTTACATACATGATTATCTTTTATGAGTTAGTTGTTTGAAACTATTTGAATGTTAAACACTATTAGTGAGACTGTTGATTCTTTATTTGCACTTTAATTTTGTTATAGGTTCAATGGAATTCCAGAGGTCAACCAATCAAGCATAATAGCAAGACTTTTGCTAGTTTCATTGGTGTCACAGTTCGTCGGTTAGTTCCAATAAGCTTGGACAATTGGAGCGCGAAAAAAAATAAAGAGGCTGTGGGGGTTTATAAACAAAACATTTGGGATGAAATTGAAGTAACACACTAACTTAAGCTAGTTGTAAAATTTTAATTTCGTTAATCTATCCATTGGGATGTTTAAATAAACTGAACTATGTTTTAATAAACTGAATTATTTGCAGAAAGCTTTTATAATTGGCGAGGAACATCGTGCCTTTGTATATAGAGAAGCTGGAAAGTTGCACAGGGCATTCAGAACAAAAATGGCGAGGTCATATCTAAAAGATAGTAAGGGTGGTTTTGTTAAACATCGTCCGGCCAAATATTCTTTATGTATAAAACAAGATGATTGGGATAAATTTGTAGCCCAACATATGACTGCAAAGTTTCAGGTAATACTTTTATCACTTGGATATGGATCCTTAAAGTTTTGCATGATTATAGTATTAGTGATAGTGTTGTGGGATGCATTTTTTATAATAAATGCAGAAAGTTAGTGATGAGAATCGAGAAAGAGCGTTAAATCCTCAACATCCCTATAGAAAGTCACGTTTAGGGTGTGCTCGTCTTGAAGCTGATATGGTAAGTATGTGTATAAATGTACTATACAATATTATAAAAAAATTTAATTGCTATGTTAATTTGTAAAAATGTATATACAGGTAGAAGAGTCAGAAGTTGGTTAGATAAACCGTAGTCAAGTGTGGAACGCTGCCCGCGTCAATAAGAGCGGGGTGATTGATAATGAGAATGTTCAAAGAGTTGTGGATCAATGTGTAAGTCGAATTTTAGATGTGACACTATAGATGTTATTTCCAAAATGCTCACATTATAGATGTGACACTTTTTCTATACTCATCATTGTTACCGAATTTGTATTTTGTTAGTTAGTTTGAAGTCATTAAACTCGATTTTCCTTAATTAATTGAGTCTTTGTGTCTTATTTTGATAGAATAGCCATTAATTGCAACTTGTATCTAACTATTGGTTATTTCTTTTATACTTATCAATGTCAGGAGAAGTTAACAGAAGCTCTATCTGAAGAAGAGAGACAAGACCTTGGTCCCACAAACATATTATTTGAGGCTCTTAATCTCCCAAACTACTCTGGACGTGTTAGGACTTATGGTTTTGGGGTATGTTCTAGGGACATATTACCACGCCAAAATCGCCCCACACAAATGGATTTTGAAAAATTGTATGGCTTTTGTAATTCACTCAAAAGTATATTGGAGGTGAACAATTGGTTAAGTGCATCTATGATATTTGGAAACAATAGGATTTGGTAATTTAAAATGTTATTTGGTATTTGATGGATCATAATATATATGCAATGAGTAACTTAAAGCGTTATTTGTGTTGAATTGAATATAGTTATTTTATATTTACACCAAAAAAAATGATTGTGTAAGAAAAAATATTGTACTGTACTTATTAAAAATATTGTACCAAATATGTACCATTTATTAGCACTTTATTTGAAAGCGCTATCAAACATATGTTATATATTAGCGCTTTTTGTTTAGAGTGCTATAAAAAAACAAACAAAAAACATGCAAAATACTGACTTTGATAGCACTTTAATTAAAACGCTATTATAAATTGGTACTTTAATAGCGCTTTTAAAGTGCTATTAAATAAGAAATATTTACAATAGTGGCGCGGTTAATAGCACTTTTAAGCGCTATCAAAAACAAAAAAAGCGCTATTAAATAGCTTATTTGGCGTAGTGGAGCAGATAATAGTAAGTTGAGGATAGAATGATGAATACCTGACCCTCTGGAAGCAGAGGGTATTTATAGCCCCCAGCGCTGGGCCAAGGTTCCTTCATTGGGTCGGGCAGGTTTGGCCCAATGGAGGAACTGCCAGGTTCTACGTGGGTAGTGGGGACCCGCACGTGGTCCCCTTCCTGGATGTTCTGCGTGAAGTGCGGGCGGACGGAGACGCGGTCTTTCCGGAGTATCGTTGAGGGAACGGTGGACTGAGTCTGCCCTAGTTGGGATGCTCGAGGCAATGTCGAGCTGGACGGCAGGATGTCGAGCTGGGCATCAGGACGTGAAGCCGGACCGCGGTATGTCGAGCTGGACATCAGGACGTCGAGCTGGACATCAGGACGTAGAGCTGGACCGCAGTATGTCAGGCACGGACGTGACCCTTTGGTCGGCGTGGTCCTTAGTAAGTCCATATGGACTGGGCCTTAGCAATGCTTTTGGGCCTGTCGGGCCCAGTCCAGAACAGGAGCCCCCCAAGTCGTGGTTCCTTTGCGAGGAGCCATGACTTGAACCCAAGTTATTCCCTCGTTGAGGTCTCGTGCCCGGGACAGAGGTGTGGGCCCTCGAGGGCCTCCTCGTGTCGTGCTCGGAGACATCTTCGGCGGTGGATGCGCGGAGGATCCTTACCGGGCGCGTCTGTCGAGCGCACGAGGTATCTTTCGGGAACTGTGCCGCCACCCTATGGGGGTAGGGTCATCATTGCATTGGGAGCAGCGCGTCGAGGAGATGGAGTCCGTGGTTGCCCGAGGTGACGTTTGGTATTCCACGTCATCACTATAAATAGGAACCTTGGGCCCCCATAATACGTTTCTACTCTCTGTGCTCTCTCTGCTGCTGCTCTTCCAGATTTTCTCCAGTTGCGATTTTCCGTCACAGATTCTTCTATTCCGTAGCCAAATCCCGCTCTTTGATCCAAGTAAGTGATCTATCTTCTTCATTTTTCTGTTTAGAATGCATGATTTCTGGCGTTTGTAGATGTTTTAGGACCGTGCGCGTGGGATTAGCCCGGTAAACTCATGCTTAGCCCGACACATTCATGCCTAGGACCGGTAAACGCATGTTTGTGGCCGGCGCATTCATAGTTTTAGGTGATAAACTTCAGAGCTGCCCGGGGTCTTCATGATCCAGGGCGCCTGATTCATGATTGCGCCCGGTATGTTCATGGTCTTGGCCGTGGGCTTCATGGTGTGGCTCGCCATGTTCATACCTTGGGTCGACATGCTTGGAGAATGACCGCGCAGTTGGTTTGCGGAAGAACACCGGGTTCAGGATGTCGGGGAGGCAACCATTCGTGGAAACGGACTTATGTAGTCGTGCATGGGACGACGTGATTTATCGAGCGTATGGCTTCGTGCTCAACTGACTGGTTTCCCGTGCTCTGCAGGTAACCATGGCGGACGAGCCGAGCTCCTCCGGACGCCGCGACCGCGAAGAACATAGTGCCGACGAGTCGGTCACCCTGATTGATACCGTGACTGACCCTTTGCTGGAATGGGTGGGCGTCGAGCCCCGAGGGATAGCGTCGGTCTACAGCCGGGACGACCGACATCCATACGCTGTCATTGAAGAGGGTCAAGACCAGCCCGGCTTCCAGAGGAACTTCGTAGTCATGCGCCCGTCATCTCGTGCAAGGATTTGCTCGGTTTATCCGAATTACAGTTTCACGATGTATGAGATCGCGTTCAAAGACCTAGGGCTGCGGCTGCCCTTCACTGATTTCCAGGCCGGGGTCTTTACGCACTTGGAGCTGGCCCCGTCCCAGCTACATCCAAACTCTCTCGCCTTCATCCGGGCGTTTGAGTTGACGTGTCGCTACCTGAGGATCGGGGCGACCATCCCGCTTTTCTTCCGGATATTTCACCTGCAGCGTCAGTCCCGAGGAGGGAAACATAGCTGGGTCTCCCTGAAGCAGTCGATGAGACTCTTTAAGATGTATATGGACTCCGTGAGGGGGTTTAAAGACAAGTGGTACATGGTACGACCAGTTACCGACGCTGCTTTAAATTCCCTTTTCAAGGAGGAGGAGCCGGTGAGCGACGAGGATGGGGAGGCGATGTTGGGCGACGATGGGAACCCTGTGTTGGGCCGTACGGCTAAAGTCCCGGTGCACTGGATGTCCCGGCATTACGAGCATGGGACCGGTTATTACCATACCGCCGCCGGGGACATGTGCTCGGAAGACGAGCAGGCGTACGGAGCTCTTTGCCGGTTTGTCGATAGTTTCCATCTCGCCCGGTGGGTTACGCGGGAAGGGGATGATATCCTGGACAAAGATGGTTACCCAACGTTCGAGTCCCGTCCGATTGACACCAAGGCGCTGGTGGAGTGCCCGACGTACAGGCAGGCTGCCCGCCTGTTAGGTTGTTTGTTGCTTGAAATTCTTTATTCGTCATTTATTTATGAAGTTTGCTCGATACTGACCTAACCTTTATTTTGTGCAGGTACGATGGCTAGTCGACATGAAAGGCTCTTGAAATTATCCTGCGACCAGAGGCGAGGCAGGAGGGTCGTGAAGGCCCCACAGGCGACGAGGATGGGCCCACCACACAGTCCAAATGCTCCTCAGCCGGTGAGGGTGGACTCGCCGTCGAGCTCGGGGCCCGCGTCGGATCCAGAAGTCGAGGAGATCGACCCCAGTGCCGTTTTGATGCAGAGGAAGAGGACCCGTGTGGAAGGTGGTCCGACTGTCGGCGAGGACGCCGATGCTGTTAAATCTTTCGCCTTCCCCCCTTGCTTCGAAGAGGCGGGCTTTTTCGAGCGATTCCCTCCGACAATGGTTGCCCATGAAGCTGCGGCCATAAAAAAGATGAGTAAAGAGGAACGGAAGGCGTATCTGGCCGCCAGCATGGATGGGCTGGTAAAAATGGCCGAGATGGCTTTGGTGCTATCCGAGGATGGAGGGGATTCTGCCCGTGTTGAAGAACTCGAGCAGGAGAAGGCGGCCCTGACCGCGAGCTCGCGGAAGTTGAAGGTCGCTCTGGAACGCTCCGAGGGGATGTTCTGAGAGCAGACTGCGATGCTCGATGCTGAGAGGGAGATGTTGACCCTGGAGAAGGAGAAGTCGGGGAAGTTGACCGAGGAAGGGGAGCTTCTTCGGGCAGACAGGGATCGCCTGGTGGCCGAAGTCGAACGCTTGGCCAAACAGGTCGAGGAAATGAATGCTGCCCTGCAACCTGCCGAGGACGAGCCCGAGGACATAATAGCTTTGAAGAGTCGGGTGGAGCTGGTCGCCCACATCCGGCTCCTCGAGGTAGACTGCGTCGGTGCCCTGGAGGACGGGTTCAACTCTGCGGTCGGTCAACTCTCCTTGCTAAACCCTGGCCTGGTCACTGAGGGTATCGGCCACACACACCAGATCGTGGATGGCGTGATCGTTCCTCCGCCCGACTCTCCAAACGCTGACAATGATGATTCCGGGGAAGTCTGAATAGGATAGCGGGCCTGCGTGCCCTTGATATTTGTATTCTTTGGGCCTGCGTGCCCGTTTATTGTACGTTATGAACATCGCCGGCCTTCTTGGTCGGTTTATTATTGTTTTGTCGCCTTCGGGCCTTTATATCAATGTTGTTTTACACTTTGGATGTTTTTCCCTTGTTTGAAATCATATATTTGCATGAATTTTTAGCCTAAGTCACGGGCCCGAGGAGTGCCCGTAAGTGGCTTTGATTTGGCGAGCGAGTCTGCCCGCCTCCGTTTGTATGCGTTCCCGGCCCTATTTCGATTGGCCAGAGTCACCTAAGTGTTGTGCTCGAGGGGAGAGATTTTCTTTTGACCCTTGTAGATGGCCCGTTATTCTCGATGGAATGTCGGGCATTTCGGAGCGAAGTTGCTCAGTCGGGCGTGGAGCCCGTTAGGGACGATTCGCCCTTGGCATGAACTGCCCATCGCGAGCTGGGTGTTCTGCCTTATGGGTACGTCGACGGTGGGGCTCGGTATAGCTGTCCACGTCGGGCACTATCGATCGTCATCGTTTACCGCGCGATGCTGTGCCATTTTGGTCGTAAGTCGGGCTTGTACCTTAGCCTTATACGAAATTGGACGTTTTTCCTCGTTGACCGAGCGCGGGTGCTGCTGGTCGAGGGTCCCAGGTGTTGATAGTTTCTAACTGTAGTACTGCTTTAGCTTAGCAGCATTCCAGGGTCGTGGTAATGGCTCTCCGTCTAACTGCTCGAGGTAGTACGCCCCGGTACCCGTGGTGCCGTGGACGCGGTAAGGTCCTTCCCAGTTCGCGGCCAACTTCCCTTCGCGGGAATCTTTCTGGTTCCTGCGTAGTACCAGGCTGCCTATTTCGAACTCGCGCTTGATGACCTTGTCGTTGTGGCGCAGAGCCACTCGTTGTTTTAGGGTGGCTTCGCGCAGGGCAGCATCCGATCGGATTTCCTCGACAAGGTCGAGTTCATCCCTTAGTGCTTCGTCATTCATTTCTTCGTCGAGGGGTTCCTCCGTTCGTCGGGATGGTTCCATGATTTCGACCGGGATGACAGCTTCGGTGCCGTAGGTCAGTCGGAATGGTGTTT